AGCAGAGAGGCACTCACCCCCAGACCCAAGCAGAGGCACCCCCAGACCCAAGCAGAGAGGCACTCACCCCCCGACCCAAGCAGAGAGGCACTCACCCCCAGACCCAAGCAGAGAGGCACTCACCCCCAGACCCAAGCAGAGAGACACTCACCCCCAGACCCAAGCAGAGAGGCACTCACCCCCAGACCCAAGCAGAGAGGCACTCACCCCCAGACCCAAGCAGAGAGGCACTCACCCCCAGACCCAAGCAGAGAGGCACTCACCCCCAGACCCAAGCAGAGAGGCACTCACCCCCAGACCCAAGCAGAGAGGCACTCACCCCCAGACCCAAGCAGAGAGGCACTCACCCCCAGACCCAGTACCCGGTGGCCTTCACCCATCCTGGAGTCCCCACGCTCCCCATCCCTAGAGTGTGGAGAGCTTCTGAAGGAGGCCTTGCCCAGCACTGCCCGGCACGTTGGCACACCAGGAGCCTCTTCCACGTGCCTCCCTGCACACAGGACATTTCTTACTGAATTGTTCACCTATTTGCTGGGATCATCCCACATTCAATGTCTCGTGACAGCTGGCAATGGGGTCTGGCTCCAGATCTGCTGTGTCACTCTCAAGCCCGGTCCGGGGCTGGCTGTCGCAGGGGTGACCACAAGCTAAGGCTGCCTGGACCTCTTCACATTTGATCTCAAGCAGGCAATCTCCAAGCCAAACAGGAGAGACTGTATCCATGCTGTGCACAAAAATGAAAACGAAGGCTCAAAGAGCCCAAGGGTCAGGCTCAAGATCACATCATTCTCCCAGAAACACGTTCTTGAGTTTCGGCTGCCCACGTGGTGACCGGCCACACACAGGCAAAGGTCTTGACGGTGGTGGCCCCGTGCTTTCCACACTTCTGTGGGTGGCATCAGAAGTTATGAATTCTCATTTGCAGCTCAGAGGTTGGCCTCGGTGACCTTTCAAGTCACATGTTACCCAAGCCTCGTAAGGGGATCCGTGCAGAGCCCTTGTGTGTGTGAGGGGCCTCGTTTTAAAAGAAGGCTTACCCTGGAGGCTGTGTGCCCAGGAAGTGGTCCTTGCATGTGGGTGGCCATCGTCCCTGGAGATGGATGGGTGCTGGGGTCTCTTCCCAAGGAGCCGCACCCACAGGTGTCCTCCACAGACCTCAAAGGAAGGAAACCTGTGCCGGTGGCGGGAAGTCAGTGTCCCCGAATAAAAGTCCGTGTCTGAAATTAGGAGCTGGCATCTGGAGAACGTGAAGACCTGGCGGCCACGGCGTGGTGACATTTGCAGAATCCCTAGCCTTGCTCTATGCCGGGCTGGGCCAGTTTCTAGAAGGACATTTGGGTTGTGTTTTGCAGACATTTAAAGCATCTCTTGAGCACTCTGGTTTCATGAGTCTGCTTTATCCTTCTCCCATTTCTTAACCACGGCCTGGAATGTTCTGGATGTCCCGCCTCAGGTGCTGTGTGACGTATCCTTGGATGGCACCTTCCAAGTCTGTTTTGAGACTGAGACTGTTGGCACAGGGGGTGGGGTGCGGCACAAGGAGGGGGCAGCTCAGATTAGAGGGTGGGTGTCTGTGGTGGATAAACACAGCTGTCAGAGGCCCAGGCCTCCACGTCCTGCAAAGCCAGCTCTGCTGCCACTTCCAGTGATCCATCTCAGGGCAGGTTGTCCTCGCCTGTCTCCGGATTAGAATGTTAGGTCGCTTTTGGTGCCCTTTCAAGAATGAGGTGATCAGCCAAGAAAACTTGAAATCGAGGCTTCTGTCACCGAGGATCTCCCCAGAGTCTCCTCCTTCCCCTGCCCGAGCACCCCTGGCCTCCGAAATGTGTGTCCTGCCTGTGCCCCAGGGCTGCCACTCCTTCTGGGTTCCTCAGCTGTCCCTTTAGACGAGGCTCTTCAGCCTGCGCTGTTGAGGTTGGGGCCGGACCCTTCCTTGTCTTGGGACACCCTGCATGTCATATGATGTTTAACAATCCCCATGCCTCCCTCGTCGGACACCTACGGCACCCGGGCCCCTGGGCATGGCAGTCACAAATGCCTTCAGTCATTACGAGATGTCCCCAGGCTGGCAGCGGTGCCCCCAGTTAAGAAACCCTGCATTATGTCTGTCTGATTATCTTCCTGGAAGCATCAGGCCTACACTCTGGAAAGCTGTGGCCGCGTCTCCTCGGGCCCCTCTGTGCCTGCCTGCAGTCCGGCCTTGGTGCCAATTGGAAAAGAATCCCTTGGAGTGCCCCCTCCCCTGGTATGTTTGCTTGACTGTGGGACCCCAAGATGAACGTTGGCTTCTCTCAGTTCACCCAGGAAGGCTTGGCCAGCCTCAGTGCCATTCAACACCACAGCAGAAGTCACTGTAAATAACGTCACAAGAAATTCGTCAGTAACCTGAGTCAGTAACGCTTCAGCACTGAAAAGTTCCTTGGCAGGGAGATTCAGATGATCAAACTGAAATGCTCTCCCTTCTCCACAGAAAGGGGTGGATAAGGGGACAGGAAAGGCAGCAGAGCCCCATGGCTGGGGGAGGCCGCAAAGGCCACGGCTCACCCTCGGCATCCCCCACCATCAGCAGTGCCTTCGTCACCAAGAAGCAGATATTGAATACCTGTGGATGCTGTGCTGGGTGTTCTCTGGCTGAATGGATGGTTGGGCACCTCCTACCATGTGGATGGAGGAAGAGGAGGAGGAGGAGAGAAAAACACAGAGCAGTGGAGGGTCCCTGATCACCAGGGAGTCATCTTCAAAAGCTATAAAATCACCAGGCCGGGTGCAGTGGCTCATGCCTGTAATCACAGCACTTTGGGAGGCCCAGGTGGGTGAATCACTTGAGGTTAGGAGTTCAAGACCAGCCTGGTCAACATGGCAAAACCCCATCTTTACTGGAAAAAACAAAAATAAAAAACAACAACGAAAATTAGCCAGGCACAGTGGCGTGCACCTGTAGTCCCAGCTACTAGGGAGGTGGGGACAGTAGAATTGCTTGAACCCAGGAGGAAGAGGTTACAGTGAGCCGAGATTGTGACATTGCACTCCAGCCTGGGTGACAGAGCAAGACGCTATCTCAAAAAAAAGGAACCAAACAAATGTGTGCAACATCCCAGTCCATCGGGAAAAAATAAATGCCATCTGGGCATTGGGTCAGGCACCATTTGTGTACCAAGGATTGAACGGTGTGTATGGGATGACAGCTTTCTCATTTCACGTAGCCACAAGGCTTGTCCTTGGAAATGGGATTTCATGGGTGCTGTTAACAGACTCAAGAAAGAAAGAAAAGAAAAAAAGAGCAGAATAGGAAAGGAGTTCCCTTTGCTAATACAATTCTGTTTTGAGAGATACTTCAGTGTGCTAGATCAGCTTATGCACGTTCATCCTGTTTCAGCAGGTGCACAGCTCGTCTGCCAGAGCGTTGAGGCCTCTTCAGTGTAATCACACTTGTGTCTTTTTCAGTCTCCTCTGGACCCCTTCTGCTCGCTTCGTATTACTTTAATATTTATTGATTACCTGCAGCCTGTCTGCTCTGAGTTCCCTCACTTATTCTGTGCACAGGATGGACAGAAAATTTTAATGTGAAAGAACAGGCTTCAAACATCAGAACTGGCAGAAAAGTTTCCATTTCTTTTAAAGTGTTGTTTTTGGAAAGCAGACTGGTAATAATAAAACCTTAAATGCATTCGTTTCTTTAAGCTTATAATGTCACTCCTAGCAGCCTGTCATTAGAATAAATCCAAATCTCGGGAAAACATCTGTGCACATTTTAATATTACTTACAATAGCAGAAAATTGGGAATGCCCAAGTGTACAGCAGTAGACACACTGTTAACGTGTCGGCATATCCACATATTTTTAAGTGATATTACACAGATTTCATCATAAGCATTGAAAGTTTTATATTATTCTGTGAAAAGTTAGTATACAAAACCTTGTATGTTTTTAAAACAAAAAACAGCTTGAGAAAAGTACTATGAGGAACTAACACATGTAAATTTTGGGTGTCTTTGGGTAACGGAATTCTGCGTGATTTTTCTGGTCTTTGTCCTTTGCGTATCTATCAGGATTTTCAGACTGCAAAGGAGGAATGCTGGAGGGTGATTTCTAAAAGGGCAGAGACACACACAATAAAAATAAAGCCTAGGGAGAATTCAGAAAGACCTTGCAAACACCTGCTTCCTTGTAATTTAAACTGACGTGAAAGACGTGCAGGAGGATTGATCCTTGGGCACATTTCACTTAGACTCGGGATCTTATTTTGATGAAAAGATTGGTTGCTGCTGCTGCCCTAGTTTCTTTCTGAGAAGCAGTCAGCTGTGCATCTTGCTCTGATAAGACCATTCCAGGCCACTGCTTCCAGAGTGCGTGTAATCACCCTGCATGTGCCGGGGGAGTTGGTGCAGGAAAGAAACCCCGCTCGGAAAAGGCTGCCCTCCGTCCTCTCCTTATCTCACGCTCTGTCCTGGCCTGCATCCAGTCATAACAAAATAAGGACATATGGTGCGGCGCTGTACCTGAGAGGTTGCTGGCGCCATACTGTCCTTATCAGAGGCTAATGGCATGGTCAGGTCTATCTCATGCTGGAAGCTCTCTGGCCTCCGCCCGCCCTGGCATGCACGGGTATTCACACGAGCGTTCTCCTCCTCCTTGCTCATCCTTGCCATGACACCGGCCAGGGCAGGACAGGGTCCTAAACCGCGTGTAAGATGTGTTCTCCCAAACCGCCCAGCCCCGCTCGGCCTCTTCTCTGTCGTACCTGGTGCCTGCTGGCCTGCCACAGAGCGTGATTGCCTACCACGTCTGTCTCTCACCCGTCTCACCCGCTGAAACACAAGCCCTGTGAGGCAGTTTTAGTCACTGGTGTACCCCAAGCACGTCGACCAGGGTCTACACTTGACTGAGGGGATTTTGAATGAGGAAATGGATGTGAGTTGCAGGCTGCCCTACTAGGGCGCTCTCCTGTTAAGCCGGGTCCGTCTGGGTGAATGAACTCACTATGCTCTGTGTTGTTGCAGTTCGAGATGCTCACGGGGTCCCTGCCGTTCCAGGGAAAGGACAGGAAGGAGACCATGGCCCTCATCCTCAAGTGAGTAGCGTGGGAGCCACCCCTGAGACCTGTAAGCACCTTCCGGTATCAAGAGCTGCCGCCTCTGAACCTGTGGTGTTCTCATTACATTGCTAGGCTTACAGTGCCAAAGTATTGTCAGTGGTTTTCCAAAATGGTAGCGCTCTTCCACCAGTAGCGGTGGTGCTAGGGTGCTGGGCATTGTGATGACGGGGGTCAAGGGAGCAGTTGCTGGTTTGGCTTATCCTGCTGCGTGGTTCTGAATGAACACTTCTATTATAGATCAAGTTTCCCATCATTAAGTCACTTAGAATGTGTACTGAGTGGCTGGTTTTCAAACGTGAAGACTGAAGACCTCCCAGAAGTATAGACGCGAAAAGACACAAGGCCTACAGGGCCTTGTCCAGAGAGATCACAGGAGCAGAGATCTCCCTTCCCTCCACACCTGCTGACCCCATTCGTAGAGCCCTCCTGGTTGACCCTGGCAGGTCTCAGTGTCATTTTGCCCCTGTGACTAGATACAAACTATTTTCTGCTTAATTCTCATGAAGAATCATTTACCAAGCCAAGGTTTTGCTCTTGGGCCGTAGGGAGAAGTCTGAGCCCTGTGCCAACTTCCACAGCGTCCTAAATGTGAGGAGACACTGCCCGTCGACCATCACTGGCCCGGAGCAGATGGAAGGGGGGCGGGAAACAAAGCCTGGGAGCCCCTAATCAGTTCCTTCCAAAGTGAGGCCACTAGATGGAAGAGTCATAAAGCCCTTTGTCCTTATTAGCTGCTCTGACCAACTTGCTTGCAAATGGACACATAACTTTTATAAAATTGAGACTCACCTAAAACACGCCAGCTTGGCTGTTGTATGCTCAGTTCTTGTGTGGATGGAAGGAGAGAGGGAGTAAAGGAAGCCCCATCGCGAGGACCCTTTTGTAAAGGTGGGGAGTGACTTTAGTTAATCAGCCTTCTCCTCCGTCAAGGGACCTCAAACTGCAGCAGACACCGGTAGCTGAAAGTCAGGACCTTTGCGGGGACTCTCGCTGTTGGTTTGAATTTTAAGGGAGAAAAAGTTCTTTACTTCTTCTAAAGCTGCGATAATCCCCAACCGCAAGTCACAGGCGTGGCCTCATGGCCTTCCGCTTGGGAGGGATGGAGAATTTCTGAAGGGAGGCACCACGCCGTGTGCCAGGGTTCTCAGTATGCTCTGGGGACCCTGACACCCTCCCGGGCTTGCAGGTCCTGCAGGGTTTCCTTGTAACATCGCAACAGCCCGAGCACAGGGCAGGCGAGAGCCCAGCTGTCTCCTGTGGAGCCAGGAAGAGACCCATCAAAATGCACAACGGTGCACTAAAGGCTTTATGATACGCTTGTTTGGGAAAACGGGTAATTTCCATTAACAATGTTATGTTAATGGGATTGTTATCATTATTTTAAATGATTTTCTTATTAACTAATACACTTATTACTAATAAAAATATTTATTAAATTAGTAAATAGCAATTATATCGATTTCTCACCTTTACTTGCTACTGCGATAAATATCACAGCTGTAGTCCATATACACAAAAGCTCTTTGGTGTCCTCAGTAACCTTTAAAGCATAAAAGTTCCCAAGGCCAACATGTTGGAGCACAGCTCCTCCGGGTGACGGTGATTGAGGTCTCCGAATGCTGACTGAGGCCCTCTTTACAGCTTGTCCTTGTTCTCCTAAAATAGGATTCTGTTTTTCAGAGCCAAGCTGGGGATGCCGCAGTTCCTCAGTGGGGAGGCACAGAGTTTGCTGCGAGCTCTTTTCAAACGGAACCCCTGCAACCGGCTAGGTAAGAGTCCCTGGGACACCCCACCACGGGGACATGCAGGGTGCTGCCCTACGAGCCTGGCGGGCCACCCTTCCGCTCGGGTCCAACGCCGACCGAGGTCACTGAAATCAGACCTCACCTAGAGGTTGAAATATGTCACATGCCATCTGTGCTCCAGGGACAAAGGCCCCTTCACAGCTTCTAAAACACATAGTCACTGCCAAAGTGCCAGAAGCTCTTCTCTAAAAGCCACTGGTTTTACACAAAATTGTAATGTTCTTCCACCAATTTGACGTTTGAAAGTCAATTGAGAGTTTATAAGCTAAGGACAGAAACATTGAGTAGCTGCTTCTAATTTAATCCTCCTTCAATTAAGAAACTTCCACATCTATGAAACTCATTTTAATATTAACTACTGATGGATTTTCTCTGTGTGTATGTGACAATATATTGAGGGTTACTCTGCGGGCTGGGCACGTCTTAGGGCATGGCGGTGACCGTGTTGTCTCAGAGTCAGATGGCACGAGGAGCGGGGGTTTCAGCTTATTTCATTACAGGAAAATGAAAGCAACACATTCAGTTATGTTTCCTAACTCTAACCCCGTAGGTGGAAGACATATCACAGGGGAAGGCAAAAGTTAAATCAGGAAATTTTCATTTTGGAAAAACACTAGATCTTCCTCTGCTTGCGTCAACCCCAAAGAAAGACGGACACATTAACTTCTTCCCCCCATTAGCTTCCCCTGCAGGGAAGTTTTGCCTTAATTTGCAATCTTTCAGTGACTAAAAGTGAAGCTAATCAAAAGTATTTTCCTACTCCACAGTAAAGTTTTCACAGTATGATCCAATTGATGTATAACTTTGTGATCTTAGAAGAAAGGAGTTAAGGTGATTTTTTAAAAATCAGCGTCAATGTTTTTAAAGTACTGCATAGCAATTCCCATGAATTTCATCTTGTAATGAATGTTTACAGTTGTATTCACCTAACTGAACACATTTACATCCAACTTCTAATCCGGATTTTTATCACATAAATCGCTATTCCTTTCTGCAGATTCATCTTCCTAGGAATTCTTTAGTTTATGTAAGAACGCCCCGTAGCTGTTTTAGGAGGCAGTTCTCCTCCATGCAAGCAGATATGTTAAATTCCACTCTACATACTTCTCAGTGATCTCCTGTCATCGACAGCTTTGTCCATTCAGCCTGTTTCCATTCTTCACACAACGCAGTAAAGCAATTCCTCCCTGTCACTGGGAACTTGTGCGTGCTGTGCGTGGCTACCAGGAGAGCAGGTGACACAGTGAGCTGCTGTGGTGCGGGTGACATCACAGGGTGTGCTGCCACGTTCTGCCTGCAGTGTCCACCGGTCACTGCAGGCCCGTCCAGAAAGTCCAGGGCACGTGGGTGTCAAGAGAGTAAATCCCTGCAACATTTCAGCACCTTGGTCAAACCATCAGAATGCTAACTGTACCGACCCTTTTGCCCAGAAGTTTTACGGCCAGAAATCTCTCCAACAGAAACAGCCATACCCGCGTAACAGGGACATGAAGAAACGGCGTTTGCAGAAGGTCTTCCTGTTTAACAAAGACCTGAAGACGAAGCAAGCGTCAATCAAGAGGGAAATCATTGCATCAATTATGAAATGTCCACACCACGGCCTGGGGCTGGAGGACTGTGTCTCGGCCATGGCTCTGCACATTGTGGGCGGGTTAATTCTTGTTTTGGGAGCTAATCCGTGCACTGGGGCTGTTTACAAGTGTCCACACCGCCACCCTGTGATGATCAAACATCTCCTGATGTTGGGAAAGTCCTGTTGGGAATCTCCACACTGCCAGTAGTGACATGGAAGAGACAGAGTCTAGACTGGATTGCAGCCCACATGGCTGGAGAGTGTAGACTCACCCTGCAGTGGCATCTGTGCCACCCATGCCACAATGCATACATGCCACAGTGCGTAGAGATACTGATGGACCCAGTCCCTACACCAGCTGCCAAGGCCCCGCACTGGTGTCTGTGGAGAGGACTGTGTCCAGTGCACTGGATGAAAACTTGCCAGCAGGTCACTTCACACATTTTACAGGGCTGTCCCCACTCAAGGGTCTGAGAGGCTGGGGGACCGTCACCCAGACAGGGGCAGCTTCCTTGGAGGGGCATTAGCCAGCAGTGCCACGGACAAGGCCAAAGTCCCTAGCCGAGCAGCCCCAAGTCACCGAGATGCCGGCTGGGGGCGATAATGAGATGGAAGGCCCAGGATGGAGAGGCTCAAGACCAGAGAGGACGCCTGGTCAGACAGAGGGTCCTGCTGCAGAACACATAGGGCAGTGTGTACGCATGTGCGTGCGTGTGTGTGTGTGTGTGCGCGCATGTGCGTGCGTGTGTGTGCATGTGTCTGCGTGCATGTATGTATGCGCTCACAGGTGTGTGTAGGGTTCGTGGCTTGAAGGAATCTGCCAAACAGTTTTTGCCACTTTTTTGTTACTGGGACCCCTCAAACCAAGAATCCTCAGGACTCCTCCTTTTCATCAGTGGTTACGGTTGCGTCAGGCAGGGTCACAGCCACATTTCCAAGAGACGTGTGGCTCCTAAAGCTGCCTGCGCCTCAGCCCTTCACTCACTGGCCCTGGTGCACACCCCCGATTACACAGTGACTCGGCTCGGGAAATGCAGCAAGGGCTCAGCGCTCACCCTCAGTGGCCAGAGTCCCGTATCCACACGAGGCCTGTCATGAGCAAGACCTCACCCCATGAAGGCAGGGTCCACAATCATGGGAGACGCAGCTTAGATTGTACCAAGGGACAGCCTGGGCTGGGCCAGGCAGGAGGGGCCCGTGCCCGACCCTGTGTCCTGAAGTTGCCCTTTCACTGCAGTTTTCCCAAATCTGGGTGTGGTCTGGCCTTTTGTTTGCAGACCCCCATTTGTCACTGTGTGAGGGGGAGGTAGGGGAGGTGGTGTTTCATAACCATGAGGGTGGGTTTGGAGACAGGGGCAAGCTGAGAAATGTGCCCCTCAGCTAAGCCAAGGAATCGCGGCACCCTAGTTTGTCCAAATGCCGTGTCCCGGTTCTGTTCTGAGTCTTCCAGGTGGTGAATTCAATTGGGTCCCTGTCATTGTCTCCGTCAGCACTAACAGCAATGCGGAAGTGACCCTTCCTAGATGGAGGCGATCAGGGGCTTACTGCTTGGCGCAGCGGTTCTCAAGCCACTAAGCACGCCTGCCTTAGAATTGAGTTTGCCATGCCATAAACTTCCACGAAATGCACAGAAACATTTTCATGTCATTTCCACACATCTCTCAACCCGGAAGGCTGCCCACGTCTAGAGCCCTGCTCTCATTTCATCAGGCTTTTCAACCGCTGCCCCCGAGCTCTTCTTTTCCGTGACCCTGGGCTGCGCCTTTATTGTGTCTGTGGCTCTCCTCCAGCGTTCCCTGTGCTGCTGCGTGTAAGCACGGCCTCCGCCACACAGCCCTGGGAGGCCCCGTGGGAGGTGGGAGAGGGTGGGTGGATAGCTCCGATGTCGCCCTGCCTGGGCGGATTTTTTTCTTTTCTTTTCTTTTTTATTTTTTTTTTGAGAAGGAAAGAAAGAAAAAAAAAGGAGTGAAGGAGAGGAAGAAAGAGGAAGAAAAAGAGGGAGAGAGAACGGGAATATTGCTTTATTCTAAAAGTGGGTATTAATAATGGTGGATCAATATTTTGTGTATTTAAAGTGGAGAGCTCTATAAATATTTATTGAGTTTACTTGTTCCGGATCTGTGTACAAGTCCTGGATGTCCTTATTAATTTTCTGTCTCGTTGAGTCTAAATCTCTTTATGGGTCTTATGTATCTGGGTGTTAGGATCGTTAGCTCTTATTGTTGCATTGATCCTTTTACCACTAGATCTTTGTTGCTGTGAAATCTATTTTATCAGATGGGAGAATTGCAACTCCTGCTTTTCATTTATTTATTTATTTTTGCTCTCCATTTGGTTGGTAAGTCTTTCTCCATCCCTTTGTTTTGAGTCTTTGTGTATCCTTGCATGTGAAATGGGTCTGGATGTAGCATACAGTTGGGTTTTGGCTGTATCTTTTGATTGGGGGATTTAGTCGACTTAAATTTAGGGTTACTGCCATTTGATGTTGACTGGCTGTTTTATCCATTTGTTGATGTAAATTCTTCTTTATGTTGATGCTCTTTATTTTTTGGTATATTTTTAGAAAGGCTAATACTGGTTGTTCCTTTCTATGTATAATGCTTCTTTCAGAAGCTCTTGTAAAGCAGGCCTGGTGGTAACAAAATTCATCTGTGAGGCAGATTCATCAGGATGAGCGGGTTGGGCTAGATGAGCTTCAGGGAGTCTCTCAATTTCCAAGTGCTGTTAATATATGGTGTTCACTTTCAGCAGAGCAGAAGAACTTCTCTGTTGTTTTTGAGTTGGTCCTCTGGATAGCTCCGATGTCGCCCTGCCTGGGTGGATTTCTAATGAACCAGGAGAAAAGGTCGTTCTCCGAGCCTCAGGATTCTCCCGGCACGGTGCTGTTGGTGAGGAAGAGAGGGTGCCTTGGCACTGCACTAAGACAGTCATTATCTGACTTGAATCCTACGATGGCACTTAAAGCAGGTCAGACCAGAAACTTACAGAATTCACTGATGAAAACAGGTGTGTCCATAGGAATTGCTTTCAGCTGCAAGGAATAGAACCCTTAAATAATTTTAAACTTTTTATCCAATTAATTTAGTTTTCCAAATCGCAGTTTCATTTTCTCTTATTAACACGCCGCGTGGTGGCGGCTGAGTTGCAGACGTGAGCGGCTGAGCTGCTGCTGTCAGGAGCCCAGCTCTTCTTGTGGCTTTGTTTCCCATCCTCAGTGCACCGCCTTCTCATCCTGACGCTCAGTGCCTTGTGATGACAACGCGGCTGCAGCAGCTCCCAGCATCACGTCCTCACTGCAGGAGAAAGAAAAAGGGAACTGGTTGGGGCCGGCTGCCTCTGTCCCTTTCATCATGAAAGCAAAGCTTTTCTGGAAGCCCCTGGGACTTCTCTG